TGACCTTGAAGATTTCCGTACTTACGAAAAAACTTTAACCTTGGCCACAAGTTTTTATAACAGTAAGGGCTAGGGCTTTTCATACTTCACATATGTAATCCTTGTAAGAAGACCTTTCATTGGATACCAGGAACTTTGACCATGGCCTTTTTTTAAAAACAAACCTTGACCAGAAATTTTGAAGGGTTGGGGCTAGGGCTTTTATATTTCATTGTGGCCCACTCTAGCCTGGGGGGTCAAGATTCGAACAAACTTGAATTTACACTACCTTAAGATGCTTCCACACGAGTTTTTTCCCCTGGCCGCATGGTTCTTGAGGAGAAGATTTTTAAAAGAAGCCATTAAATTTTCACTAATTCATAATCATATCCCCCTGGAAGAGGGCATGGTCCTTCATTTGAACGAAGTTGAAGAATCCCCTTTACATTAGGATACTTTGTGGCAAGTTTGGTTGAAATTGGTCCAGTTGTTCTTGAGAAGCAGATGAAAATGTGAAAAGTTTACGACTACAACAACGACGACGACAAATTTTCATCAGAAAAACTCATTTGAGTCTTCGGCTCAGGTGAACTAAAAAGTGAATTCGAATCAACACAATCTTGGAGTGTTTGTAAATTAATAGTTCTTCAGTGGTTTTTAAAATAATTTCCCCATTGCATGTAATATTCATAACTACTACTGTATGTGTGAATATTCCTTATATTTTCTTTTGAACGAAAAAGAAAGTCCATTTCGAGTTTGATTCACTTTTCTAAAAAACTTTAACTTTGGCCATAACTTTTGAACAGTTAGTACTAGGGCTTTCCTATTTCACAGGTTTACCCCCTCCCCTTTCGTGAAAGCTAGGGGACATTGAATATAATTCTTCTGTCCATCTGTCACAAAAATTTTATTCTTGGTGTAATCTTTTGAAAGGGAAGAGATAAGACTTTCATATTACATAGGCGTCGGAAGCAAATTAAAAGTTGGATGGTTAATTGAAAGGGAGTGGGGGGGGGAGGACTTACCAACGAAAAAAGGTAAGCCCCAATTTTCAATGCGTATATTATGTCTTTCTTTGAAAAAGTGTGGGAAGTCTCCCCTCCCCCAACTAAATACACTATGTTTTTTACACCCCGTAAACTTAACCTTGAAGTCTGATCTATTTTTAAAAAGTTTAAACATTACTTTAACTTGGCCATAACTTTTGAATGAGAAGAGACATCTTCGCTAGCCAAGGTGACGATCCGCTCCGCTTTTCAAAAGAGGAAAGGAGCGGATCGTTACCCTTGGCTAGCGAAGATGGAGAAAAGAGGGCTTCCATATTATACATGTACATTATTTGTGACAAGACCTTTCTAAATACCACTATTAATTTCAACCCGTTACCTTGAAGTCTGACCTACTTTTCAAAAACTTTAACCTTGGGTCATAACTTTTGAATGAGAAGAGATAGGGCTTTCACACTTTATTTGTACATGTTATTACCTGTGACAAGACTTTCTAACTACACTATGATTTTTGACTCTGTGACCTTGAATCCTGACATTCGACCTACTTATCAAAATTATTATTTTTCTTTCAAAATATTTGATTGAGAAGAGTAAGGGTTTTCATAGCTGCAGATCTGTAGCGTTATGGTTTTTATATATTTGTCTTTACCATTACGCTACAGATCCAGTAATGCAAAAAGGTGCAATTTACGGCGCAATATTTTTTCTCCACTTTCCAGCATCGGTCAATTAAGTATCTTTCACTCCTTAGTTCTAGGCACATTATTTAACTAATTTGTATATTTTATCTATCTCCCAACCCTTTAAAGTCGTCTCTACAAGTGATAAACTCGCTTGATTAAAATTGCATGTATTTGTTAGAATGTTAGAATGCTGAAAATTCACTTCAAGGGAGTTTAATTGCCTGTAGATGCAACTATAAATGGTTGGGAGGTGGATAAAATATCCATATTGGCTACAGAATGTGTCTAGAACTAGGGAGTGAAAGGTAGTTAATTTACCAATGCTGGAAAGTGGAGAAATTCTCCCCAAAAGTGCACAAAAATATTGCGCCGTAATTTGCACCTTTTTTGCACTACGGGATCTGTGGCGTTATGGTAAAGACAAATATATCAAACCATAACGCTACAGGTCTGCAGCTAGGGTTTTCAATATTTGACATGTGCATTACCTATGACAAGATATTTCCAAGCATCTTATAATATCAGACTACTTGACCTTCTTCTTTGACCTAATTTTGAAAAAAACAAACAAACTTTGGTGATAACTTTTGAATGGCGTATGATAGGGCGTTCATATTTGACACAATATGATATAGATAATGACATCGCACCAACAAGGACACCGAACACAGAGGACCACAATTCTTTGATTTTGCTTGTTCCTAACAACAAGATACATTCCTTTGATACCAACAAAGAAGATGGGGGGATAAGGCGGGCAGAATGCCTGCAGCGTCAGATATCAGAAATCACATTTGATATGTAAATTGTTAAACCTCTCATTATTAAAATTTATAAAATTATGAGAAAAATAAATTTTCTGAGAGAAAATAAATCTCTTTAAAAAATGACATTTATAAAAAATATTAGATGGTATACGTGCATGGGTGTCAAACCCCAACAATAAAATGCCGAAGTATCATACTGCTTTGAGACTAACGCGCTAACCACTATGCTATATGGCTCATGATGATTATGGGCATTTAAATCATGTTTGTGATATGACCCTTCACTTACTGGACTTAAAAGTATTTCTCGGAAAGATGCAAATGTTTTGTCATAAAAGTCTACTTTTAAGGTATAGTGGGTCTTCGCTCTATTTTTTTGTCACCCAAAAAATATCTATTTTATCGCAATCTTTCAAAACCAGAAGTCTCTGTTGAGACTGTAGCTCTACTGGTTTATACTTATAACAAAGGAAGAGAAAAGTAGCAGTTCAAAATGCTACTCCTCCTACAGTTTTGGTCTGATTTCAATATAACTTTGCAAACAAGTAGACTATACTAAGATAGATAATTCTTTGCATCGGTTTTTGATTTTGATGAATGATGTTGCCATGGTTACTAAAAAAAGCATGGAAAGTTGGGACTTGAAACTTTAAAAGAGCAATAAATAGAATAATGATCCTTGATTAAGTCACTTTTTGTGGCAATATTGCAATTTGACTACAACTTTATGAGTCGTTTTTAATAAAATTTTAAAGAACTTTCCATGCTATTTTTAGTAACCATGGCAACATCATTCATCAAAATCAAAAACCGATGCAAAGAATTATCTATCTTAGTATAGTCTACTTGTGTGCAAAGTTATATTGAAATCAGACCAAAACTGTAGGAGGAGTAGCATTTTGAAAGCATTTCACAGAAATTTCTATTTTTGGTAATCACGGCAACACCGTTCATCGAAATCAAAAAACCGATGCACAGAATTATATATCTTAGTATATTCTACCTGTGTGCCAAGTTATACTGAAATCAGATCAAAACTGTTGGAGGAGTAGCATTTTGAAAAATTGTTTACAGATTACAGACAGACAGACAGATGGACGCATTACTATAGCATAAACTCTTCTGGTCACTGACCAGTAGAGCTAAAAATGGAGCAAAGACCCGCTCATATTGAAAATTTTTGTGAAGTATGAGAAAATGATCGTTTTTGTTCTGTAAGTCTGTGCATGCTTTTTCATAGGCAAATATTTTTAGTCTTTGTGAGATTTTTGTAAATTACAGAGATTTTACATTAAGTATACTTTAACATTAGATGAAATATAAAATAAAATTTGGATATAATTGAGATTAAATTTTTCACTTCTTATCTGTCCCACTATAGGCATTCTGCCAACCTTATCCCCCCATTTCTTTGACCTTGGAGTTTTGACTTGCATGTTAGCCATAAGCTGCCATACGGGAGTATCTGTGTTTTACAAATACATCTTGTTGTCCCCCATTCGTATTTTTTTTTTAAATTTCACTTAAATTAAAGGTCACAGTGACCTTGAAATAGGTCGCGACACACCCTCTACCTAAGATGCATAAACTAGCAAAGTTTGATGATTGTAAGTCTTATAGTTTTCTAGTTAGGGGCCGGAAAGGATTTTTCCATATTTGGCTATATCTTCTTAATTAAAGGTCAGAGCAACCTACTTTTTGTGCGCGACACACCTTCTACCCAAGATGCATCAGATGACAAAGTTTGATAATCCTAAACCTAATAGTATTAAAGTTATGAGCGGAAACAAAAAAGCTAAAAGACAGATGGACAGACGGACGGACACAAAGCCTATAACATAATACGTCCCGTCTTAAGACGGGCGTATAAAAATTTAGAATTACCTTAAATTTGCCAAATCTTTTGAATGAGAAGAGATAATTTAAGGTTTTCATACTTTAAAGGTGCATGGACACAGATTTGAATTTAATATTTTCTATATAATAAAATTGCAACATACCGAAATTAAAATTTGTGAAAGTGCAAGGATGTGTCAGTCAAACTCGTAAAAAAATTTAACTTTTAGATGAAATAAGATTTTTAATGTATTTTTGTGTGAAATGCTATTAAAATATATATGTCATGATATTATACAGAAAATATTAACTTCAAATCTGTGTTCATGCACCTTTAAGATGTGTATTACCTGCGTCAACACCTTTCTAAGTACCCATTTTTTTTATCCCATGACCTTGACGTTTGACCTAATTTTCAAAAACTCTAACCTTGGATGTAACATTTGGATGAAGGATTAAGGGCTTTCACCTTTCACATGTATATTACGTGACAGAACCTTTCTACCCACACTATGATTTTTCACCCATCTTGTCCAATTTCTCAACATTTAATTAGTCAGAATTTGATCTAGACTAAATATCATCCAGTGGTTTTTGAGAAGAAGTTAAAAATATGAAAAGATGACCATGGACAAACACAGATGGCACTAGTTTAGTGACTTCGGTGACCTAAAAATACTTAACTTATACCTCAAGTCATTTATACTTAATCTAACTTAAACCACAAGTAATTAATTTATTTGTACTTTATCCATTTATCCTCAAATAGCTCTTTAATGTTTGCATACCTTTACATAAGTTATACAAAAACCTACAGTAAAACATGTTTAAAGTGAACACACTTATAACGAATTGATGCTTTTAGCATTTTCTGTGGGTTTTAGGTACAAATTGTGATTGAATTCAATGGACTTTAACAAATTATATTTGTCCCTGACACTTGCCTTATAAGTTTGTTTTTAATGAATGTATAAAATAGGTTTTATTTTCATCTGAAAAATATCTAAGAATCATCCTCTCTTTTCCTTCCTTTTCATCTGTCCTTTTTCCCCTTCTTCATCCTTTTAAGTCTTTTCATGTAAGGCCCCTTAATTGCAGCACCTTTTTTATGCTCATTTTTCTTTGAGAGCAAAACCCCCAACTTTTCAACTCCATCTTTAATAACAGTTTGTAATTCATTCTGTACATCTTGGACTCTTTCTCTGTCACAGAAAATCTCCTCAAACCTAAAGCTGAAATGAAAAGTAACAATACAATTATTTATAACAATGATATGTAGTTTCATTTCTACTGCTAAAAAAAGAGTTAAGGATACACCTAAGGTTTCCAAAGGGCAAAATTTAACTTGCTTGTAATTCTTTCATTAACAAAGATAACATATTAAAAGTATACATTTTGAAAGCTTATTAAATTTACTATTTAATGATCTTAATTTAGATTTTCATTTTTATCTTATTAAAAAACTATTAATATTTTAATGTAAATATTAGTGCATTTATATTTTATAAATCAACTTTTTCGTATTCCATCTCTCAAAGTCAAAATTTTGCCTCAATGTAGATTAAAGATTGAACTTTAAAACCGTATCTCAGATTTTTGATAAATCTTCTAATTCAAAAGTTACATCCATTTGTCTTTCAATGTTACCAATTTATAGGCCCAATTTTACATTTCCCCCAATAATTCTAGAACTGAGCAAGATATCAAAAATCTGAGATACGGTTTTGGGAACACACATTTGAGACGAATTCTGGCCAGTTTTCAGAGAAATTGGTCAATAAATAAGGGAGCTGAATCCTTTGAAATAATACCACCAACTGTCTGATCTTACTTTACAGTAGAGGGCAAAAACCCATTACACAACAAAGTCTGCCAAAGCTAGAAATATATGACACCTTGGAGATTCAGCTTTGGATACCTGTCACTCATCCATATTTCCTATGCATATTCACAAGAATGGGAGGTTCTATTCTTTATTTAGGTGCTTTTAATGAAGTAAAATAGGTTCAATTCTGAATCAGAAAGATTTCCCGGCAAAATGGCAAGAGCTCAGCTCCACCTCTTATTTCATGGTCATTAGTGACCTGTTAGATCTCCTTCCCTAAATCTTGAGTCCCTGTAGTTTAATTACTGATAATCTCTGTGTGTCTATATAGTGAAGAATTCCCCATGTGGTCACAGTGATTTATTGCTCCTATCAGAAGCAGGCAGTTACAGACCAAATCAGAAGCTTCAATAATGGCACATTCATATGTGTTAGTGTTTATGTTTGATTATTGTTAAATAATTAGAAAACCATTTAATAATCAGCAAGAATTTTTCATGCATTATAAAGCAGTAATTAGCATTGTTTTCTTAGCCAAAAATCTCAAAATTGACAAAAATCTTGAAAAAAGCCTTTGGTGTATCCTTAAGCTACACTAGTGTTGATCGATTATTTGGTTTTGGTTTGCTTTCATCAAGTCTTAAATATATTGGACTACAGTTAATCAATACAATTTTTTCTCTGTATCTTTTGAATTTTTTGTAAGGAGCAAAATTGTTCACTGGTGCAAAAGGGCGAAAATAACATGGGTTGAAAATAACCCTGTATATAATATTTTTTGGTGTTTGAATTTTGAGCACTCTGCATTGACCTTCTCCTACTCTCAGAGATGTGAACATTTCATTCATTACTTGAATGAATTGTACAATACCTTAACCAGAGATACATGTCCAATATTTCATATACTTCCTCCAGTTTTGTTAGACTTTTGATAGTTTTTGGAAGTAGCCATGGATAGTCTGTCTGTAGTAACAACCATTTGCAGTCAATAGGAGTCCCATTGCTGTAGCTCCGAGCAAACTACAAAATATATCATGTCTATAGTCATGTATAACCATCTTTGTTTACTCAAACAGAGTGAAAGAAAAAGTGAGCAAGCTGCTTCATATACCCACACTCCCACAAATCCCAAAGAGCTGAAATTCCAAGAAAAAATAAAGAAATTGAAATTCCCTGGTAAAATGCACATCTACACATTGTGTCCTAAATAGCTGCAAAGTTTGACGAAATTCTGTGCAGGGGTTTAAGAGGAGTTGCACTGACAAACTGTTCATCTCTATATTCAAGGTATGGCCAGAAATCTAATTCGTAGAGTGCCGAAATTCCCCGAAAAATTATGGGATCGAATTTTCCTTGTAATATGCACATCTACACATTTTGTCCTAAATAACTGCACAGTTTGAAGAAATTCTGTGCTGTGGTTTATGAGGAGTTGTGCTGTCAAACTGTTCATCCCTATATTCAAGATATGGCCAAAAATCTAGGTTGAGAGTGCTGAAATTCCCGGAAAAAATAAAGGAATCAGAATTTCCTGGTAATATGTATATCAACACATTGTGTCCTAAATATCTGCGAAGTTTGAGGAAATTCTGTGCAACAGTTTACGAGGAATTGTGCTGACAAAAAAAAAAACAGGACCGAGGGAATGACACATTGACTGACACACTGATGGACAGGTCAAAAACATTATACCTCCTGCAACTTGTTGTGTGGGGTATAATAACATGATAATTGGTTAAAGATTGCTAGTAGACAGATGTAGACAATACCTCTTTTCAACAAGACATTTTTTCTTTATTCTTAATTCTTATGTACTGTAAAAATGCACTATTAAAATAATGATGCATATCATAAAACTCTTGCAATGACACCTTGTTTTTGTGAGAAACTTTTCTGGTATTAACATATGAGACAATGTTTTCAGGAATGTTGTTTATCGCTATACATATAATTATAAAAATTATGGTAAACAAGTTCTTTTGTTTACGGATTTGGGGGTGTGACAGCATCGAAGATTGATTGGTTTATAATTAAGTTTTTGCAGCTCTGTATGTGAAAATCATGTTAGGTATGTAGCTACGTTGTATTGGGTCATATTAAGGGGGTTAAGTCATTCGAAGTTTCGCTGCTTTAAGTGCAATAGACCCCCACCCTACCCCTCCCAAACTATATTTGTATGTTTTCTTTTTATTAATCTGTTCATTAAATTATTATTTTTTTGTAGAATGGAATACTGTATACATGGAAATTTTCGCCCCCATTTTATTTTCGCCCCTTTCACCCTTACCTCATTAGGGCGAATTTAAAAGGGGGCAAATTCAAAAAATTCAGTATCATTTCTTAACGACGTTCGATCCTGATATTTAAAGTCTTAAACTTTTTTTGCCAAGTATATTTTTAGTTTCTACACACATAGCTTAATTAAAATTCAAATCGAAAAATGGGGGTCAATATGCTTCTTTTAGCGCTACAGTACATTTAATATGACCTTTCTGCACTGAAATTTGTGTCTTTATTAAAAATTATATCTTCGATGTTTTCCCTCCAATATTTTTATCCAATTAAAGCATGAAACAAAATGAACTCTAAGTCTGTTTAAAAAAAGACACTAAAAAATTGTGACTAAGAAAAAGTTTCAAATTGCTTCGCATAATCAATTATTTGACCTTTCTGCACTAATAAAATGTTATTTTTCCGGCATTGAAAATATAATAAACAAGAAAATAATTTTAAAGTCTTAAACTTTTTCTGATTTTAAGCAAATAGGTCAAAGTTATCTTGAATATTTAGAAAAGAACATCAAAAGTAGAGGTATATGATGTACATTTTCAGATATTACTAAAAAAAGTGTGAATTTTACGTTAAAATTGGCACAATTTTTCCCGGATTTTCAATATATATTTACTATATTTGTAACACTTTGTTGATAAAATTCATGAGAAATAATTTAATAGATATTTCAGAACCAGCATAACATATTTCACTGCAAAAAACAGCTGTGTCTGCAACCAGCATGGAAAAATAGGCATCCAAAATTAACAGTACTGTTATAGTTCAAATGGAAAAAACTGACCATTTTCGTCTAAAAAACATTCCACCACAAAATATAGTCCCTAGCTTAATTATACTTGAATGGAATTTAATTGCAGTTTTTTCATTGAATATACTTTAATTTGCATTGTAGAATTTTATTTTATTGTTAGAACCTAACCAGAAGTCTCTGTTGAGACTGTAGCTCTACTGGTTTGTACATATAACAAAGGATGAGAAAAGAAGCCATTGCCATCAGACCAAAACTGTAGAAGGAGTAGCGTTTTAAAGGAATTTCACAGAAAATTCTATTTTTAGTAAAAATGGCAACACCGTTCATCAAAATTGGAAACCGATGCACAGTTTTATGAACCTTAGTGTAGTCTACTTGTGTGCCAAGTTATTTTAAAATCAGATCAAAACGGTACAAGGAAAAGCGTTTTAAAGGAATTTCATAGAAAATTCTATTTTTAGTAACCATGTCAAAACTGCTCATCAAATCAAAATCCAATGCCCTATTTTATGTATCTTAGTGTAGTCTACTTCAAGTATGCCGAGTAATATTGAAATCAGACCAAAACTGTAGGAGGAGTAGCGTTTTAAAGGAATTTCACAGAAAATTCTATTTTTAGTAACCATGGCAACACCGTTCATCAAAATCGGAAACCGATGCACTACTTTATGTATCTTAGTGTAGTCTACTTGTGTGCCAAGTTATATTTAAAACAGACCAAAACTGTACAAGAAGTAGCATTCTAAAGGAATTTAACAGGATATTCTATTTTTAGTAACCATGGCAACACCGTTCATCGAAATCAAAAACCGATGCACTATTTTATGTATCTTAGTGTAGTCTGCTTGTGTGCCATTTAATATTGAAATCAGACCAAAACTGTAGGAGTAGCGTTTTAAAGGAATGTCACAGAATATTCTATTTTTAGTAACCATGGCAACACAGTTCATCGAAATCAAAATCCGATGCACTATTTTATGTATCTTATAGTAGTCTACTTGTGTGCCAAGTTATACTGAAATCAGACCAAAACTGTAGGAGGAGTAGCATTTTGAAAAATTGTTTACAGACGGACAGACAGACAGACGGACGGACGACGGACACCTTATATATATATAGAGCTAAAAATGATGCTTAATTTTATGAATAAATGACCTGCGCGAAATACGCTCAAAATATCAGGATCGAACGTCCTTAAACAAAACTACGATTGGGCGAATTTAAAATGGGGCAAATTTGTTTTACAGTGTGAAAGGGCGAAAATAACACGGTATACAGTATTTAATGTGACATAGAGTAATTTATGTTATAATGAATGTAAAATTAAAAGCTGTTGCACTCAAGCATGCAAGCTTATCCTATATATATATTGGTGTTTGAGATTTTATCTATAAATAATTTATGTTCATTTAAACTAGTGAATTTAGAACATAATTTTTTTTTCATAATATCAACATACCCAAGAATGACTTCTTTTGCAAGGAGATAGTAATTACACAAAAAAAGTTATGGAAAATAAAATTTATTAGACATGCCTGTGCTCAAGGAAAAATAATAAGAAAAATAAGAAAAAATAGACACATAAAACACAGACCATTCTTTTCATACAGCCTTCGGCTTTCAGAGTATCAATAGCATATTTCTTGACTAATAACTTGCGGGCTCGCTATTCAAAGAAATTAAAACCCATGTGACATCACCAGTATAAATACCGACCGCCATGCTTGAATCACTCATATTTTTCTTGGCGCACGTTGTGCGGGCTTTAAGGTATACTTCGAAATATTTTGATTAAATTGGAGTTTAGACGAAGTCTTAACTTTACGTGTTGTATACACAGTTATTTTTTAAGTGTGTTATTGTTTCTCAGATGTGGTCTGGGCTTTCACGTGGTTCACGTGAATTTCATGGTTTGTTGTGAAATTTACATGCATGTCCTCAGAAAATTCTGACGTACTCTCGATAATGGCAGAGTCGGACGATGAATCTTTTGAGGCTTTTAATAGCGAGGATATTAGAAAAGCAGAGAAAAAACTCGCTTCTAAACTAGGAAGAATAGAAACTAGGGCAACTGCAGGTTCTGCAGTGCAAATGCACCTAATGATGATGAACAAGGGCCTTCAACGTCGACGGCGAAGCCGTCTTCGGCAAGTAAAAAAGGTAGCAAACGTAAAGGGCCAGGCAGTAATGCCACTAAAGCGAAGAAAAATAAACAAGTTGAAATTTCTGGTAATGACATTACTAGTGCAATGTTAAACATGGACACTGAGAGTGTTGACAAATTCAAGGAAATGATGGGTATAAATGATATAATTGGGTGCATTTATAACCTTCAGCAAGATAAATTGAATCAATTAGATCAATTAGAACAAGAGTCCAGTGTGGACCTTGATGTTAATAATAATGAGCCTGAAGGCTCAAGTCTAAATGAGGGAAATGATTTTGATTTTTTCATGGATGACAAAGAATCTGATGAAAAAGGTCATGATGAAGAGTTAGATAATGATTGGGACATTCCAGATTGGTTTACAACAGATAAGAAAGGGAAGAACGTTGATGATAAATTAGCTAACATGGTTAACACTCTCTGTATTAAAGAGGGCGAAACAGAGAAGATAATAGAGAGTAATCCAAGACCAGCTAATTGCACTTATCTGTTAGCCCCACGAGTAAACACAGACATATGGAATATTATGCACAAATTTGCTCAAAGTAGAGACTCAGACTTTCAAGCTGTACAGAAAACAATAGCAACAGGTATTATTCCGTTGCTCAAAATAGCTGAAATGTCAAAAACAAATTAGAAATGAAGGAAGTTAGAAATCTGATTAAACAGTCAATTATTCTGTTGTGTAACTCAGTGTATCAATTGTCTCAGAAAAGAAGATTTCTTTTGAGAAAGGTCTTGCCAAACAGGTTCTCGGACATATGCAATGCCTCACAACCTGTTATGGAGTTGTTATTTGGATCAGATATC